CTGCATCTGGTGGGTCCGGTACCACGAGGCTCGTTGAGGAAGGACTAGCTGTGAAGTAGCCGTCTGAGATCCTTTCACCATCTGCCTCTGCTCTTGGTCCGTCTTCCACCTCGAAGACTCCCTCTGGTGTCTGCAGTTGCTCTTCTTCGGTTGCTTTGGTTCTTTGGTTTCCTGCTCATCCAGTATCTTCTCATTCTGTTCGGTCACTTCTTCTTGAATCCTTTCCAGTTCCCCAGATCTTGGTTCTGGTTCACTTCCCTCCATCACTTCAGGATCCACTTCCTTTTCCTGAGTTATAAGCTCTGGAGCCTCCACCTCTTTGGGGTCTTCAGTCTTTTCCTCTTCTTCAGGTTGCTTTTCCAGTTGTTCAGTTTGCCATAAATGCTTCTTCTTTTGTTTGCATTTACCTTTTGGCTGTGGAGCAACCTCTATCAGTTCAGATGTGGGTTCCTGGTCTTTAGTGGAGGCCGTATCTGGTTGGGGTTCCACCGTCTGTTCAGTCAAACCTTCTGGAACAGTTTCCAACTCTCTCTCTGACGTTGGTTCTGGTCTACGTTCCTCCACATGTTCAGGATCCATCTTTTGTTCCTGCTCTACGAACTCTGAAGCCTCCTCCTCTTTCACTCCTGGAACTCCAGAAACACCCGGTTGGCTTTCTGGGATGACGTCTCTTTTGTTTTCCTCAGATAAATCTTGGCTCTCCTCTTTGAAGGAATCCAGTTCTTCACTTTTCTGCTCCGATGTGCTCGCTTCACTGTCTGTTGTTTGGCTGAAGACTGTGTTGTACAAAGTTTGTAACTGCTCTTCCCTCTTCTTTCTCTTCAAATTTTTGATCATCCTCCTCTGAGATTTTAACTTAGAGGAGAGTTCAGAATTGGAGGCAGCCGTTTTCTTCAGCTCTTCTTTTAACTTCTCCCTCTCTTCTCTGAGCAGTTTGTGGGAGTCAAGCATTTCTCTAAAGCTTCCTTTAGAGCTTCTGAACATGTTCTTATACTTCATTTTGTTCTTACTCAGACACTTGAAATTTTGCTTAAGCCTCATCAGATCGATTCTCTGGTCGAAGCCGTCGTTCTCTAGAGCTTCGCTTTTGTCTCTTTGCTCCCTCAGCAAATTACTAATTTCTTCCAGTTTGGACGTCAGGTTCTCCAGTTCTTGCTCCAGATCGTTTATCTGCTCGTGGGCAGGGCGGAGCAGTGATGGTTCCTGATGGTTTGGTCCCTGTTGGTGGGGACCAGGGGCCTGAGAGAGGCTCCCTTCTCCCTGAGGGTGGGCCTCATGTGGGGAGCGGTCGTCCACTAAAAGAACGTCCATTTCCGGTAATGGTGTCGCACGCTCCACCGGTTGTTCTCGATCGCCAGAATAAAGCTCAGAAACCTGGGACTGGTTCTCCGGCTGGCCGTGTTCAGAGCGCTGGCCGGGTTCTGGCTGGTTTAAAGGTTCCCCAAAGTGAGTGGGGGAATGGCACTCAAAAAAGACGTCATTATCTGAAAGCGCGTCTTCAACCTTGTCGCTCCGTGGTGCATTGAGAGATTCTTTCGTGTTCATTTTGCTGGTTGTTTGTATCTCTGGTGCAGATTAGCCGGTGAGGAAATGTTGAGGTCGAGCAGCGTGAAAGGCTGTGAGGTTTCTGGATGCAAACTGAAAGTTCTCCGCCCCCTATATATACAATCCCTGCAGTGATGTCACGGTGATGTCACTCACTGTGACATCACAGTCACCATGACAGTGATGTCACAGGGAGTGACATCAATGGATGGAATGCCTTCGTCAAATTTTTTTTTTTTTTTAAACAACATTTTGCTGTTTCTTTTTTTCTTTATTTTTCTTTGTTTTTTAAATAAAATTGAATGAATCTTTGTATTCCACCGAATCATAAATTCCATCTTGGTTTTAAAGTGGAAAATTAAAGCCAATTACAATCTGTTTCAGTGTGATGCAGCCATAATCTACTGAAATGAAGTAGATCTCATTCCAAAATAGCCAAATATGTACAATATTTAATAC